TAGGACCAGGGCAGGTGGGGTCAGACTGTAGGACCAGGACAGGTGGGGTCAGACTGTAGGACCAGGACAGGTGGGGTCAGACTGTAGGACCAGGACAGGTGGGGTCAGACTGTAGGACCAGGACAGGTGGGTCAGACCTCTGGTGTTCAGCTGTATAAAGCAGAGTTTTAAATCACACCTGTTCTCTTGAACAAATGAAGCTCCGCCCCCATCAGCACTTTGATTGTTTCCCAGGTGAATGCAAATCTCTGCCTGCAGACACCGCGCTGCTCAGAGGACAGGGGAACTCTGGTACCAGGACTTGGTTCTGATTCTGTCTCTGTTCTGTTTCAGGTCGACCCGGTCTCTGCGGAACCATGAACCTGAAGGAGGCTCCTCCCGTCGGATCTCTGTGTGAGTGAAACTAACCTGTCTGAATGTTCCAGAACAAGTTCTGAGACCATGAAACTGAGTCAATCAGGTCCAAACTGAATCCAGATTGACTCTTGTTTCTGTTCACACTGAACTCTGTCCAGTTCTGTCAGAATCACTGGTTTGATTAAAGGAATGGTTCTGATCTTTTAAAGAGGAGTTGTGTAGTGATGGTATAAACAGTCAGTATCTTACCTGTTGTAGATGGTAACTGGCTAGTCTGAACACAGCTGAGACTAAAGCAGCTCTCCTCCTTCTTCTCATTTACCACTAATGTAGAATATAGAACTCCCTGTGCCCGGTCCATTTTAGGTAAAGGTTCTGTTCTCTAAAGGTTCGGTTCTGCCTGGAACAATCTGTAGTTGTAGAATCTGATGAATAATCTTTAACTTCTCCTGCAGCTGAAACACGAGCGTCGTTTCTGAAACTGTTCATGTTGACACGACAGGTGACGACTGTAAGGAGAAGCAGCTCTCTGTCTCCTCTTCATCCTCCTCTTCCTCCTCCTCGTCTGTGACTTCCTGTTTGTTGGCGTTGGTTTGCAGCGCTGCAGTTTATACAGGTTCACTCCTCAAATCACCTCATGTTGAGCTGAACAGCTGCTTAATAACTAATAACAGATGCTGTTGGTTAATATTTATAGTCTTATATTAGTTATTGCTGCTGAAGTGTAAGTCTCTGAGGTTTTATCCACCGTTGTTCCTGCAGCCTCGTGTCTCCTTCAGTTCTGTCGGAGAGCAGCTGCAGCTCTGTGGCCTCTCACAAAGACCCTTTTCTCTGCTGCACTCAGAACCGGACTCCTCGCAGGTGGACCTCGCCGTGTTTGAACCCCGACTCAGTCCTGATGTCTCACCGGACTGTGATTGTTGGTGAACGAAACTGTTCTGTATCCTCAGAGGTTCTGTTCGATCAGAGCTCCCTGCAGGATCCGGAGTCCAGCTGTAGAATTACAGGACCTGAACTGAGACGGGTCCCAGACATCAACTCTGATTTGGAAATAAAAAAATAAAAACTCCTTCATTAAAGCAGTTTGTTACCAACAGTCAGAACCTGGTCAGGTACTCCACGCCCCTGAGTGTGCTTCTGTTTGTTGCTCTGCAGACAAACACTGTGTGTGTCCTCTGTGTGTCCTCTGTGTGTGTTTGACAAATCTGGGCTGGTTTTTCCATCGGTTGTTGGTTCTGCAGTGGAAAATTAAGATGCACAAGCAGCAGATGGGTGATCACACCATTCAGGTACTGGATCAAGGCCAGATGTTTGGTCTCTCTGGTGTCAGACTGGGCCAGATGTTTGGTCCCTCTGGCATCAGTTTGGGCCAGATGTTTGGTCCCTCTGGCATCAGTCTGGGCCAGATGTTTGGTCCCTCTGGTGTCAGACTGGGCCAGATGTTTGGTCCCTCTGGTGTCAGGCTGGGCCAGATGTTTGGTCCCTCTGGCATCAGTCTGGGCCAGATGTTTGGTCCCTCTGGCATCAGTCTGGGCCAGATGTTTGGTCCCTCTGGCGTCAGACTGGGCCAGATGTTTGGTCCCTCTGGCATCAGTCTGGGCCAGATGTTTGGTCCCTCTGGTGTCAGACTGGGCCAGATGTTTGGTCCCTCTGGTGTCAGACTGGGCCAGATGTTTGGTCCCTCTGGTGTCAGGCTGGGCCAGATGTTTGGTCACTCTGGTGTCAGGCTGGGCCAGATGTTTGGTCCCTCTGGTGTCAGTCTGGGCCAGATGTTTGGTCTCTCTGATGTCGGACTGGGCCAGATGTTTGGTCTCTCTGACGTCGGACTGGGCCAGATGTTTGGTCTCTCTGGTTTCTGACTGGGCCGGATGTTTGGTCTCTCTGGCGTCGGACTGGGCCGGATGTTTGGTCTCTCTGGCGTCGGACTGGGCCAGATGTTTGGTCTCTCTGGCGTCTGACTGGGCCGGATGTTTGGTCCCTCTGACGTCAGACTGGGCCCGATGTTTGGTCCCTCTGACGTCGGACTGGGCCATTTGTTTGGTCCCTCTGACGTCGGACTGGGCCATATGTTTGGTCCCTCTGACGTCGGACTGGGCCATATGTTTGGTCCCTCTGACGTCGGACTGGGCCATATGTTTGGTCCCTCTGACGTCGGACTGGGCCATATGTTTGGTCCCTCTGACGTCGGACTGGGCCATATGTTTGGTCCCTCTGACGTCGGACTGGGCCGGATGTTTGGTCTCTGGCGTCGGACTGGGCCGGATGTTTGGTCCCTCTGGCGTCGGACTGGGCCCGATGTTTGGTCCCTCTGTCGGACTGGGCCAGATGTTTGGTCTCTCTGACGTCAGACTGGGCCAGATGTTTGGTCTCTCTGGCGTCGGACTGGGCCAGATGTTTTGTCCCTCTGGTGTTGGGCTTGTGTTTGGTTTTCTGAAACTGAGTTTGAATCAAATATTTTATAAATATCAAGTGGAGTTTGTGCATCTTCTTTTACCTGGTTTAGGTTTACCTGCTTTAGTTTACCTGGTTTAGTTTTGTCAGACTTTAGGGTCCTGGACCAGGACCTGGCCTCTCCAACATTTTGACCAACAGCTGATTCTGAACCTGGTTCTGTCCTCAGGTGGGTCAGCAGCTGAAGCCTTCAGGTGGATCTACAGGCGATGGAGTCCCACGACCACTAGCTCTCACCTGAGCAGGTGAGTTGATCCACTGGAGAACTGATCCTGTAAAGGTCTCACCTGGAGGGAACTCTGGAGGTCCTGACAGACTCAGAATCTGAACTCAAACCAGAACTTCATCAAAAATACTTTTATTTGAAAGAATCAAACCCAAGATTTTAGTTTCAGAGCAGCAACAAACCAAACCTCAGAAACGTCTTGATTTTCTCCACAGGTTCCTCCTCAGACTCTTCATGGTTCTCCTCCTGCTGCTCCTCCTCCTCCTCAGTGAGTTCCTGTGTAATAAAACTCCAGATGCCACACCATAATCCAACAGAACATCATTCAACATAATTACAAACTTCACTCAATTATTCATAAAATCTCCTCTTTTTATTATTTAATAAATATTTCTAAAGTTCTCAGATGATGTAGAAATGATATAAAAACATTTTGATGAGTTAAAACTTTGACACAAAATTTAAGAAACAGATTAAATTATTTTCCCCTGAGCTGAAAATCAGACCAGAGTTCTCCACCTTCAGGTTTGTGTTGGTTCGGTCCTGCTGGGTTCTGCTCCGTCTTCCCAGGCCTCAACGTCACGACTGTGGACCCTGTCCAGAGTCTGTCCTCCATGCACAGCTTCCTGTCCCCTCACAGCCAATCAGCAGAGCCCGATGGGGAGGAGCCAAGTGAGGAGGAGCCAAGTGAGGAGGAGCTACTGAGCAGACCTCCAGCTGTAGAAACACCTGCGCCTCAGGTAACCTCTCCCTGCTGCAGGGTTAATCCTGGTTCTCTGGTTAATCCTGGTTCTCTGGTTAATCCTGGTTCTCTGGTTAATCCTGGTTCTCTGGTTAATCCAGGTTCTCGGGTTAATCCAGGTTCTCGGGTTAATCCAGGTTCTCGGGTTAATCCAGGTTCTCGGGTTAATCCAGGTTCTCGGGTTAATCCAGGTTCTTTGGTTAAATCTGGTTCTCTGGTTGATCCAGGTTCTCTGGTCCTCTCCAGGTTCTCGGGTTGATCCTGGTTTTTGGGTTGATCCTGGTTCTTGGGTTGATCCTGGTTCTTGTTTTGATCCTGGTTCTTGGGTTGATCCTGGTTCTTGTTTTGATCCTGGTTCTTGGGTTGATCCTGGTTCTCGGGTTAATCCTGGTTCTCTGGTCCTCTGCAGGTCGGTTCTCAGGAGGTTCATTTGGACCCTGAGCCGATGCCGGCTGTGGACTCTGAGCGCCTGGTTCAGGTGGAACAGAGTCTGATGGTCCTGCGGGGGCGGGTGGAGTCTGCAGGACGGTGGGCGGAGCGGAGACACAGGGAGGTGCTTCAGCTCTACGCCGACCTCCATCGGCGGCCATCTTTGCCTCAGAGCGGCGGCGGTGAAGGCGTGGAGCCGTGGATCAGGGATCTGATGGACCGACAGCTGTTCCTGCTCCAAATACAGCTGGACGAGGAGAGGCAGAAGAGGGAACAGGTGATAAGCTCCGCCTCCAAACACCACCTGACCAGACCCAGAACACCAGACCCAGAACACCAGCTCCAGAATCTGAAACCGGGTTTATTTCTGTGTCCAGATGCGCCAGCAGGACCTGCTGCTGCTGAAGGCTCAGACGACCCGTTTGGATCACCTGGAGCTGCACCTGCAGAGCTTGGCTGCCAGAACTCAGGTCAGTCATGTGACTGGATTAATCCAGGTTTAATCCAGGTTTGGTCCTGGGTTAATCCATGCTGGTGTTGTTGTGCAGGAGGTCCAGTGGACACCAGAACCTTCAGCCACGTCTCTCCCAGCTGCTGTCGGGTATCTTCATCCTCCTCCTCTGAATAAAGAACTTTAGATTTTTATCATTAAAACATCAGTTTTTCTTCGGCAGCGCTGGCGTGGACGGACCGTCCCATGATGCTTTGCAGGCAGAGGTTCTGCGGTTGGAGGCGGCCCTGGGGGACGTGAGGCGGGACATTCAGGGTCTGTCCGAGTGTCGGAACGGACTGGAGAGAATCCAGCAGGTGGTGAGAGAGAGAGAGAGATTTTCAAACGCTGAGGGGAACTTCACAATAAAAGTCTTTCTGTAGAAGCTTTTAATGTGAAGGAGCAGCAGGAAGTGACTCGAAACCTCGCCTTCAGATTTCAGAGCGGGTGTCGGTTCTGGTCCAGGAGGAGGTTCGGGCTCTGATGTATGGGAACCAGCTGGCAGCGAGGGGAGACTCCGCCCCCCTCCCTGAGTCTGTGCTGCGGTGGCTGTCGGAGCGGTTCGTCACCGAGGCCAGCCTGCAGGAGGCGCTGTCCGCTCTGGAGCACAGCATCCTGCAGAACGTCAGCAGGAAGCTGCGGCGCGGCGAGGAGACGGGCCGGGAGGACGTCCTAGACTCCACCGGGAACGCTGTCACTCCGGAGGTGAGAGGAGTGGGCGGGCCTAAACACTGATGGGAGGTGCTCAGGTTAATTATAAATAAATAAATAAATAAATTGTTGTGCAGGACGTGCACGCGATGGTGACAGACGCTCTGAGACTCTTCGCTCAGGACCGGATCGGTCTGGCAGATTACGCTCTGGAGTCTGGAGGTCAGAACCAAACCTTGACTCTAAACTGGTTTTATCTGTTTAACATTGTTCTGATCCGTGTCTCTTTCTTTCTTTCTTTCTTTCTTTCTTTCTTTCTTTCTTTCTTTCTTTCTTTCTTTCTTTCTTTCTTTCTTTCTTTCTTTCTTTC